AGGGAGGGAGGGGGGGTAGGGGGGGTGCGCCCGGCGCCGCGCTCTGGAGAGAGGGGAGGAGGGGCCTCCGGCTCCTGGTTGGTGGGGAGGGGGTCAGGGAAGCAGAGCGCAGCCCCCCCTTCCCCAGTGAGCACAGGGAAGGCCCCCCGTGTCCTGTGGGGGGGGGGGCAGGAGGCCAAGAGTAGGGCCCCCCCTGGTCTCCCTCCCTCCCCTGTCCTCTCACGGGGGTCCCCTCTCTTTCTCTCTGCCAGCAGACGTGGACGCCGTCACCAAGGCCCTGGAGGAGTTTGAGCTGAAGAAGGCGGCCGCCCGGGCGGTGACGGGGGTCCTGGCCTCCCACCCCAACAGCACCGACGTCCACATCATCAACCTCTCGCTCACCTTCCACGGGCAGGAGCTGCTGAGCGACACCAAGCTGGAGCTCAACTCTGGGCGGCGCTACGGCCTCATCGGCTTGAACGGCACCGGTGAGCGGGCGAGGCCTCGTTTCTCAGGCCTCAGTGGCTCCACATGAGTCACAGTCCCGCACGCAAGCGGCATTTCCTGGCACGGCAAGGTGCTCTGTCTCAGTCCCCAGCAAGCAGCTGGTCCTCCGCTCCCGGCTTTTAAAGCAGCCTGGCTTAAAGGGGTGGGGGGGGAAGGGGGGGGCTCTGAGCTTCTCGGCCTCATGCACAGGAGTGCTCTGGAGTTCATGCTCAAGTAGGAACTGCAGTTTCCGTGTTAGTTCGGCGGAACGTTTGCCCTTTCGGCAGGGGGGGCTTCTTTCTCCTCCTCTCTGCCCATGATCCGGGCTGGCAGGGCACGAATGGGGAAGTGGCCCGGTGCTGCTCAGGCGTAGAGTTTGGTCTCCCCTGGCTTGGCAAGGGAGGCGTTGGCTCCCTTTTCCAGCCTCTGCTCTTCAGGACATTAGGACTGAACCAGGAAGGGGTAGGATTCCAGCCCCCGTTTGGCCATGAAGCCCCCTGGGTGATCTTGGACCAGTACTGTCCGCTCAGCTCAGCTGCCTCGCTGGATTATAAGGAAGAAGTGAGGAGGAGGAGGAGGGCGTGCCCCATCACTCGTCCTGAATTCTCCGGCAGACAGACAGACAGACAGACAGGGGATCCGTCAAAGCAACATCTGTCCCTTGCGGTCCTGGAAGGGCTGAATTGTTCCTTGCAGCGGAGAGTCTGATTAGTTTCCTCCGCAGGTGCTTTGATTTGATCCACTCCCCCAAAGTGGCGGGCTGAGGAGTCAGTTTTCCCAGCCCTGCTTCCTGCAGTCCCAGACAGGCTGCCTGAGGTGGCTTTAGAGAGGAAAAGGAGTGTCGCTGGCCGGTAGCGTTTGGCTCTGTGAAGTGGGAGTTGGCTTGCAGGACCCTTTCAAGGCCCTAACAGTGGTGCCAGTAGAAAGCGCACCGTATTTGCAGTGGCTTCGTGGGCCATGCTGCTGCAGTGTTGGATTGTTCAGATTCTCGGCTTTCCCCCCCCCCCCCACCCTGGGGGCAGCAGGGGGTGTGGGGTGGGGTGCAGCGTGGCCTTGCTGTATCCACGGGTGGGGTCGGCCAGTGTTTTTGCTAGTGGCTCTTTAAGTGTAGTGGCCGCAGAAGCCCCCCTCCCCCCCCTCGTTGTCTGGAGGCTGCACTGGCAGCTCTTTGTCTGTACTGGGATCATAGAGACTGCTGTGCTCTGATAAGAACATAAGAGACGCCAATGTTGGGTCAGGCCAAAGGCCCATCCAGTCCAACACTCTGTGTCACACAGTGGCCAGAAATACCAGTGCCATCAGGAGGTCCAGCCGTGGGTCCTGGACATTAGAAGCCCTCCCCCTGTTGACCCCCCCTCCAAGCACCAAGAAGACAGAGCATCCCTTGCCCCAGAGCCCCTATCTATACCTTGTGGCTAATAGCCACTGATGGACCCCTGCTCCATATGCTTCCGTTCTAACCCGACCGCTCAGCAATTTCATGGAGTGCCCACGGGTTCTTGTATTGTGAGAAAGGGAGAAAAGTACCTCTTTCTTTACCTGCTCTTTCCCATGCATAATCTTATAAACCTCGATCATGTCACCCCTCAGTCGTCTTTTCTCCAAGCTAAAGAGCCCTAAGTGCTTTAACCTTTCCTCATAGGGAAAGTGTTCCAACCCTTTTATCATTTGAGTTGCCCTTTTCTGCACTTTTTCCAAAGCTATAATATCCTTTTTAAGGTGTGGTGCCCAGAACTGCACACAGTATTCCAAATGAGGTCTCACCATTGATTTATATAGGGGCATTATTATATTGGCTGATCTGTTTTCAATACCCTTCCTAATAATCCCCAGCATAGCATTGGCCTTCTTTATTGCAGTCACACACTGTCTCGACATTTTCAGTGAGTTATCCACTGATAGAATAGCTGAGTTCAGTGAGTTATCCACTGATAGAATAGCTCCCTCCTTCTGGTCTCTCTAGGAAAGTCCATGTTGCTGTCTGCCATTGGGAAGCGGGAAGTGCCTATCCCGGAGCACATAGACATCTACCACCTGACGCGGGAGATGCCGCCCAGCGAGAAGACGCCCCTGCAGTGCGTCATGGAGGTGGACACAGAAAGGGCCATGCTGGAGCGGGAAGCAGAGCGGCTTGCTCATGAGGATGGTAAGGGCCTGGGCTGCCGGGGGGGGGGGTGTTCCTGAGAGGGTTTTGTGTGCCTGAGCCTGGGCAGTGTGGGAGCCTGCAGAGGTGGGAGTGTCCTCCCCCCCCACCCCACCCCGGCCTCTGCACAGCAGGAGGCGGAGGCGGCCTGTCTGCAGGCGCTGACCAGCATTTCTCTCCTTGCCCGTCGAAGCCGAGTGTGAGAAGCTGATGGAGCTGTACGAGCGCCTGGAGGAGCTGGACGCTGACAAGGCCGAGATGCGGGCCTCTCGGATCCTCCACGGCCTGGGCTTCACCCCCCTCATGCAGAGGAAGAAGCTGAAGGACTTCAGTGGGGGCTGGCGGATGCGGGTGGCTCTGGCCAGGTAGGCGGCGGGAGGGGGGCTGCTTTTTCTCCCCCCCCCC